AATGCACTGAGTTGCCGCCATGTGATTGGCTGATTAGAAATTAAGTGTTAACGAGCAGTTGGACAGGTGTACCTAATAAAGTGGCCGGTGAGTGTATGACAGTGGTGTTATGATGTTTTGAATCACTTTGCTTCAAGAGGAGTGACATGCTTCAAAGCCTTAGTATAATTTCCCCATCACTACATGCTCTATAACTTAGTTACGTAGTGTAAAGTCCAAATAAACACAACATTTATTTTCTTTGCTGAACTATTTATTCGTCCACCATTTTCATTCTTCAAAAATCACATACATTGAGCCCTCCTGGGCAAAGAACAGAAATAAAAACCCTTTGCCAGAGAACATACTCCATTTCAGAGGAAGTTAACACATAGGACATCTAACATTTATTGTGCTGAATTTCAGTCAAAGTGAAATGTATATAGTAATGAATCATTAGTTTCTTCAGTAATTAAGCAGAACAGATCTAAGATTATGTGCTGGTTTTGCTGTTTCAGGTGTGGTTTGTGACTCTGGAGATGGGGTGACCCACAGTGTTCCTGTTTTCGAGGGTTACTGCCTACCTCATGCAGTGCAGAGATTTCCACTGGCTGGGGCTGATGTTACCATGCACCTCAAAAAAGTATGTACCACTTCTTTTTGTTGTTCCAMATCTTTGTCAGCATTTACATTCTTTGTTTTCCTTTTTAATAGATCAAGCAACAATTCACAAACTGTTTTGTCCTTTATACAGAAACATGTTTAAGTTCAGTTTAATACAGACTAAATCAGTCCAGCTTTAATTAATCAATCTAATTTCATCCAGATAGAATTATACTCAATCTGAATATATTCCAGTTTAGAACTATTTGTTGTATTTACAACAGTTTTTTACACTCCATCTATTGACCCTTTTCTTTATTTAAACCTGAGTACTTCTGTGCTCCTTAATCTTCTGTTTTTCTATGCTTATGAAAAAAACACCTTTATTATGTATAGTTGTCTTTACTCTATTTGCCTAATTCCACTAACAAAGGTTCAGTTTCCAAAACAATGAAGGTAGTATCAGACTGGGCTATGACTGGCGGAGGCAAGTTTGTGTCAAAGCTTTTGTGAATATTGTCAATTTCCTCGTGTGTCTCAGAGACTTCCAGTCTTGTTGTTTTGAGTTTTGAACAAGTTCAAAACATTTGTGCAACACATTTTTCTCAAAATGGTCTGAGTTGTTGTGGCTGTCTCCAATCTATCTAGACAGCTTTAGAGTTGCATTTTGGCACCTGCACTGGAGGTTAATATCCAGGGTCCGTATTTATCAAACTTCTTAGAATTACTCTTAAGAGTGGACTTCAGTGCAGAAAAATTCTTAGCTAAAATCTGAGACTAAAATTCATTTATCAAGCATCTCAGTCTCACTTTAAGTGAAGTGTAAGAGTAATTCTTAATTGTCAGTCTTAGAGCTGATTTACGACACTTTGCTGTGCCGCAAAGCTGATCTTGGATGACGTAACAAAACCCCCGACATGAACCAATCACTGCATCGAATTTCATGTTTCAAGAATATTCTCTGAGAAATGTCAAAATAAAACTGTGAAAATCCCAAGATTACTTCACAATTAACACAGTAATGTTCATACATGTCACATTGTACTGATGGTAAATTACACAAAATTTCAACATTTACATCATGAATACAGACATATAAAGAAAATCGCACGGATTTCTTCAAAAACTCAGCTTTAAAGGAGACCAATTATGGGTCCTAGAAATGTTTATGATATGTCTGTGGGCTATCCAGACCATGTTCATTCAATCTAATGAACAAAATAATTCTCAGATAATCAAATTTCCCATTTTCTAGTTCTGCCTGCTCTGACTTCCGTTCAGAAGAGCTGTTTATGTTAATGAGCTCTATTGGTAACGCCCTCCAAAAATCTGTTGACATTAACTCCGCCCTCCAAAGCCAGCGTTTGCGTGAGAGACCCAGAGGCAGAGTCGTGATCGCAGCTTCTTTTTTTTCCTCTCCCTCCTCTGCTCTGCGCTCACTCTGCATGCTGTTACC